ACCCACGACCATGGAGATATAAACAGCTTTTTATAAGGTAAAAATAATAAAACAAGGTCTTTGTCTGCAATGATTTGACATGTTTTTTTTTATTATTGTCATTAGTGATTATCTCAATTTCGGCTAAAAGAATAGACAAAATCCCACACAGTGTGCCTTTAATGAAAAGGAAACCCCTTTGATCGTTGTACAGCTTCACCATATGCTTTATGACTATATGTGTGCGTGTGTTGTAGCATATCTAATCCTTTTAGCTATCACACTTGAGTAATCAGCTGATTGCAGCCATGCTTCCCATTGAGATGCTGTGAAGTGCTGATCCTCGCAGCCTCTTGTTTCTTCTGAAGAACTGAACGATGGCCGCGAACTGAAGTTGTAGAGCGTACGGATTAATCTTCATGTTTATGTGGAACCCCAGAACAGAGCCAAAACCAATCACTCTCCTGAGTTACTGTAGATCAGCTGCCTAATGGTGCTCGCAGCACTCGTACGTATGCTATCATTACAGCAGTTATACGCGTCGTGCTAAATTAAAAAAAAAAGGATCTGTGGTTAGAGGGAGGTTAAGGAAGCATGAGTCACATGGCTCCAAAATTATGACCTCACTATGATCAACCCGAGCTGAACACGATACTCGAGGGGGCGAGAACCAAACATGTGCACAGCTGTTCAGAGCAGACGTTACAAGGTTTCACTCAAATTTCTCGCAGAAGTTAGCTTCATTTTTGTGAAAAGAATCGGACATGGCTGCTGCGTGATTCTGGTTTTGATTTTTCCTAAGTCACACGSTCAATATGTGCGGGCGAGCTGCAGCCGTCCCACCCAGCTGTTTGCAGATGGAAACGAGTGGCGAGTGTTTGGCTGGAGGGTGGGGGGGCCTGGAGGGCGAGGGCTTAGAGAGCATGCAGAAAGAGGGCACAGGGAGATTACAAGCTCCCATCCATGAGGCTGTAATACAGTTCTGTTTTTTTTTTAAGAGGTGGGATTATGTTGCACTGCCTAATGCCCTCCAACTGCAATGGAATTGATTCCTCCAACATGCAGGAGGTGAAGATGGGCCAGATGAGGAGTATTCTTACAGATGTCAGCTCCAAGCGGTGGCAAATTCCCATCAGCACTCATTTCTATTTAAATCAAATTTGACAGTTTGTGGGGAGGGAGTGCTGAGACTTGTTTCAAAACTGAAAAACGGCGACGATCTTTCGGCTAATTTGATTACGAGTTCCCATTTAGGCGCTCCTTAGGGACGAGACGGCGCTCCGAGACGAATCGCTTTGCAGATAAAACTCCAGGGAGAAGTCGTCCCCCTGAACTGCTTCTGAAAAGGCGGTGGGCTCATTCCGGCCTCGTCGCATCGACACTTCATAAGACCAGATCAGAGACGGGAGCGGGGTTGGAGCAGCAATAATGAGGCACTTTGGAGCCAGGCTTCGGGTCTGATTAGGCCGTCCAGGCTGCAGTGTTCTCTGCACACCTGCTGCCAGGAAGTGGAGAAARGATACATGTGCTGCCACCTCGCATGACCTCTGGTTTATACTCAGAAACAGGCATTGTTTGATTTCACCTTTCTGCCGAACAAATCATAGAATCAAATGGAATGTTTGGAAAAATAGAAAGAAAAAAAAGATTACTGTTAGATGTTAGTTTTATCTTCCCAACAAATAAACATAAATTTGGCAACAAYTGTGATGCAGCCAGTGGTTGCAGGGCAACCGCATCCCTGGGGAGAGCGCGGGGCTTCCAAGAGACCCCGACGGAAACATGGCTCCACGTGTATAAATAGAAACCCATGATGAGAAACATCAGACGGTCGAGTTTCTCAACCAGGGGAATTCTGCGCAGGGGTCAGGGTCTGTGAGGCGGAGGGGGTCAGCTGGATTATGGGTGTTRACCAGCAGCTCGGATGATGCCGTGTGATGAAAGGAAACGGCACACAGCCTGAGGCGAGGGAGCTGCTGCTCCTGCATGTGTGGCTGATGATGGGTATTTTTTTATCACCTGCTGCCGTAAGGCAAAAGGTGGAAGTTTTGGTGTCTGTTAGCAAAATATCACAAGCAACAATGGGTGTATTCTAATAAAACTCTCAGAATGTGATCAWTGAATGTCCAGCTACGTCTGATTAACGTTTGGAGTGGATCTGATTTCAAGGTGGCCACACACCAAGGAATCAGTTAAAAAGCTCAAAAAGCCTCCAACTCAGTCAGTTTCACAAGTATTGAGCTAAAATCAGCCGTGATAGTAGCTGCCAGTCTGTTACATCACATAGCTAAAGCACTACTCATTGTGCAAGATGTTTGCTCAGATTTTTAGCATTAACTCTAACAGTCAACCTTGTTTGTCTGTTGGCAAAATATCTAACGAACCACGAGATTGATTTCAATGAAACTTTCCGATAGTTATCACTGGGTGTACCTCTACAACTGATTAACTTTTTGAACTGGTCCACCTCAAGATGGTCAACACAGCTAATCAATGCTAGCCAACCCAAAAATGGGTTAAACMCAGRCAGTTTCKRAAATATGTAGCTAGAAGTTGARGTGGTAGTAGCTGATAGTCATTAATAACATATACTCTGAGGGTGATGTTATGCAATATTGCATGAGGCTCAAGACTGCAAAATTTCCCTTTATAAGGTGTTTTTTTAAGGCTATTCTTAAAGCAATGATAGACTTTTAATGCATTTTTTAAAAACCTTTAAAATAAGACAAACATAAGTGAATTTCTTTAGCAATAAACTTCCAGGACACAAGTGTCCCTCTGGTTTCAGAGTGCAGGCTGTGACAGACCTGTTGTGTAATTTTTTTGTTTTGTTTTTCTTCCTGTTGAATTTCAAAGCTCCTCCTGCAAACRGGGAACTACATCCCAGTTCATAGTTCGCATTTCTCCTGTACAGGATTTCAGATGACGTATTCCTGTAAGGACCCCACGTGAGCTCGCCAGAGTGTTTGGAATCTGCGTAAAAGTTGCAGTTTGAGGTTCAAACAACCAACAAATGCATTCCCACATAAAGTACTCGGTGCGCCTGAAGCGCTGCGCTCAGCGGACGCTGCAGAGGGACGTGAGGACTCTGTGCGCCGCAAAACCYCAAACGGGAAACCAGGAGTCCAGGAGCTTGTTCGGAGCGCACAGCTGCAGGTTTTACGCGTCGGACTCCGCTTACACCCGAGCGTTGTCCGCCGCCAGGGACAAACCCGAGGCGTTCTGGGCCGAGATGGGACGCGACATAAACTGGTTTGAACCGTGGAGGAAAACTCTACACGTTGAGGACCCAGTGTTCCCAAACTGGTAGGTTTTCCAAGTTGACACGAAAAAGACAACAACACCGAGCGTCACCATGACCGAGTCGAACCACTTGCTTCTCTCATAAAATAAAATAAAATAAAATAAAATAAAATAAAATAAAATAAAATAAAATAAAATCCCTGACCCAAACACTTTGCTGGCCTGTGCCATGGAGNATAAAATAAAATCCCTGACCCAAACACTTTGCTGGCCTGTGCCATGGAGAGCCCAAAGTGCCACATTTTTTAAACAGTACGCCATCAAATAAAGCTTTATAATGAAGAATGAATTCGATTCAGTCATATGAATTTCCTTTAACTAAAACATTTATATATGTTTTCAGCCTTTTTTAAATTCTATGCAGTGCATGAATCTGTCAAACCTCATCAGACTCAGTGGGCGGGGCTTACACTGATTAAATCAACTGATTTGGCTTTTAATTCAATTCCTTCAAACTTGGTGGTTTCATTATTAAACTATCTTTTGTTACCTTTTATTGTGACTTGGTTTTAGTGATTTTACCCCAGTGGTTTCCCAAAGCTGGGATCTGGACCCCTTTGTGGGTCATGAAACACAAAGTGGGTGGTCCTCAGATGAGTTTGAAAACATTTGCAGAGAAGCTGCTGAGTAGTTTTGGTCATTCTGTCACATTAAATYTGTCTCCAAGTACAATTTTTAATCTGTTTGTTATTAAGTATAAACACTGTGRGCCAGGGTTGATTTCAGTTTAGAGTGACTATTTTGGGGCTTGTATGTTGTGATTTTGTATTAAAATGTGCCCGTCTCACAGGTTTGTTGGAGGGAAGTTGAACATGTGCTTCAACGCGGTAGACCGTCACGTAGAAAGCGGACGAGAAGAGCAGCCTGCCGTTATTTACGACAGCCCGGTGACRGGAACTAAAAAGATCATCACTTTCAGGGAACTTCAAGACCAGGTAGCGCCATCGCTGTTAAAACCTCGTGGTGAACTGCTTGTGAGGCGTGTGCAAACCTTGTGTGGTGTTGTAGAACTCTGAAGAATATACATAGCTCTTCTTTTTCCCGAGGCAGTTTTCGACATTTTGCTTCACCCATTCTGCGTCTCAATCCAGGTGTCRAGGTTAGCAGGAGTCCTTGTGAAAAACGGGGTGAGGAAAGGAGACGTCGTCGTCATCTACATGCCCATGGTGCCGCAGGCCATGATCACCATGTTGGCCTGRGCACGCATCGGTGCACCGCACAGCCTCATTTTTGGTGGCTTTGCCTCCAAAGAACTTTCTGTTCGCATCGACCACGCCCGGGTAAGAAGGTGTTGATCGTATCGGACTGTGTTGTTCTTTTCTTTAGGTCAGTTTACTGCACTCTGTGTGTCCTAGCTCCAAAACCAACTCCTAAACCATTCTTCATATGTGTCCTAGTTCCTAAAGCTGCTCCAAAGACACTATTCAGATGTGTCCTAGCTCCTAACGCATCCTTTAAATGTGTCATAAATCCTAAACAATTCTTTAAACATTTCCTAGCTCCTAAACCATCTTTTAAATGTGTCTCCTAAGCTACTCTTTAAATGTATCCTTACTCCTAAACAATCCATTAAACATGTCCTAGCTCCTAAACCATCCTTTAAATGTGTCCTAGCTCCTAAACCATCCTTTAAACATGTCCTAGCTCCCAAACCATCCTTTAAATGTGTCCTAGCTCCTAAACCATCCTTTAAATGTGTCCTAGCTCCTAAACCATTATTTAAATGTGTCCTAGCTCCTAAACCATTATTTAAATATGTCTCCTAAGCTACTCTTTAAATGTATCCTTACTCCTAAACCATTCTTTAAACATTTCCTAGCTCCTAAACCATCTTTTAAATGTGTCCTAGCTCCTAAACCATCCTTTAAATGTGTCCTAGCTCCTAAAGCATCCTTTAAATGTGTCCTAGCTCCTAAGCTACACTTCAAATGTTTCCTTACTCCTAAACCATTCTCTAAACACATTCTAGCTCCTAAACTTCTCTTTAAACGGGTCCAAAACCAAAGAATGTTTTAGGAGCTAGGACACATTAAAAAATTTGGGTGTTGAGCCGATGTTAATCTTCATGTATATTTATGAAGCATGATAATTCGACTTCAGTTCCTTAGCTCATCTTGTATAATTAATGTGTGTAAATATGTGAAAGCCTGGGTTGCCTCAGAGTGAATCATTAARGAAGGAAAGCCCTGTGTTTACTCTGCACACACTCACACCAGGATCTTATCAGAGCTACTGTGAACGACTCTGACATTGTGACTAATCACTTTTACTGCGCTTTCTGTTAGGGTTTAGAGAAAACGGATGGAACGATAGTATGAACCATAAGCAACTATTTGAAACTTTGATCCAGATTGTGTCAGATTAAAATAAAATCTGATTTCAGACACTTGTTTTAAAAAAAAGATCATGTCTGATTTTAGGAAGGTTGTAGTTCTCAAAACCTTCCTGAATATAAACAAAACAGAGCCACTCAGACATGAAGCTTTGAGATAAAAGCAAAACTATATATCTAAATATCTAATGATGCTTAGATGGAAAAAGAAATATTTCACACATTATTGTGTCCATAGAATAGCTTTGTTGTAGCAGAAAAAGGTAAAAAGCAGTAATGGTTTTGTGATGACAGTATTTAAAACAAGTCATATAGTTGAAGTAATGTAGTAAACATTAAAGTAATAAAAAAGTGAAAGTAGAAAACAATTTTTAATGACTAAATGAGTTCAAAGTGTGATTTTATTGTTAATATCCAGACTAATCCTCTTATTTCGAAAGGGTTAGTGTTGTGTGTACATTGCAAGCTTAAGCTAAGCAAAATACTTGTGTATACTTTTTACATACTTGTATAGAAATCTAATTTTCTAATATGATGAATGTTTGTTTTTCATAAAAAAAGAAAAAAATAAATAAAATCTATGACTTGTGTTTTGCAGCCCAAGCTGCTGGTTACAGCCTCGTTTGGCATCGAGCCAGGCAGAAGAGTGGAGTACATCCCTCTGGTGAAGAAGGCCTTGGAGATGAGCTCGCACAGGCCCTCCAAAGTCCTCATCTACAACAGACCCAACATGGTAAGAACTGGAACACCACAAATACATCGCAAATTATTAATTTTTAATCATCCAAATACTAAAAAAAGACTTTCCCAAAACATTATACTGGCAAATAGTGTTACAGATCAAATATATGGTGGGTGTGTGCAATATGATAGATGTGTAATATTTT